CCAGGTGGTGGTAATAAAGTAACTGTGGACCCTCTTTGCTAAAGCTGTAAATCTAATGAATTTTCAGTGTTTTAGTGAACCAGTCTCCCTTAATGTTAACCAGTGCTCCAGTTGGCTAACACAGTAAATACTGGCCAAGAATTCAGTGGACACATAGAATAATATACTGAACTAACTATGTAAACATAATTGTAACATATAAGTAAGCAAACTTATGTGTGCTCTAAACTAAATCCTAATTATGCTTTTTTTTTTAATATGATAGAATAATCATACGCACAAAAAGTAAACAAACAAGTTAACTAATCAACAAACATAGTGTCAATCTTCTACTAACTAAGTTCATAATTCAGTCTAATATTAAAACTACTCCTAATGTATTACTTTAACAATTTTACTCAACAACAGGGAAACACGTTTCCTAACTCTGCATTATGACAAATAAACACTTTGACCTTGACCTTGAAAAGGCAGATTTATATCAGCTTCTGCCAAACGTTTCTACACTCTTTTAGACCCAGAGATCACATGGAGTCACGAAGACCAGGTTAGGTCTTTTGACATTCACATCTGATATGTTTGCAGATGATGGTACGATAAGGCATTAGACCTAAAACTGTCTTTGAAACACAAAGCAGACTATCTATGCGTTGGGTATCGGTGAGGAGTTATTCTGCTCAATGCCTGAAAGTTAACTATGAATATTCTGAGTTCCTGAAAATAAACATCCCTTCAAAATGTTTACTTTGGGCTTGTGAGGACAACACCACTTACAGTACATTTGAGGTTTATTGGAAGGTGATACATCAACCAGTCTTTTTTATATGTCCTTTTATCTTGTCAGTGTCTCCATTAATAGAGAGAATGGCACTGCATACTCAGTATGACAGCTTGGAATGAAGGTGTTTTGGGGCTTAGAGGTTTGCCTGTACTTAGTGACAAGTGAGAAATGCAAACAATGTCTCCTTTTTCTGTTACAGTGGGTTTTTACTTATAACACATAATATGTTCTTACTTTGTTGCCTTATATATATAATATACATAATGTATGTCTACCTCTGTATCCAGTTTCCTCCCTCTCTTTTTTCTAGTTACCACAGAACAGGTTGCATACGACTATAACAACTTTGGTTCCCAAAATAACTATGCTATGTAATGGAAGAATGTGGAAAAAAGCAGACACAGCCCTTTCTTTTTTAGCCCCTGCTTCAGTGTGTTGACCTGTAGAATAATAATTATTTGCCTTGGTGCACTGTTAGCACAAATAATTACTTGGATGAAAACAAAAAATGAGACTTGGTATTGCCACAGTAAACATTTTACCACTAGTGATTCTTGGCATAAAATGAGAAGTTGAATACTTTCCTTTGTATGTTTTGAATAACATGTGCCTCTTCTGTTTCTCCTCCATTCTTTGCTGCCTTTCTCTCCTCCATTCAGCCTGTGAGCTGATGAACCGTGGTATCCTGGCTCTGGTCAGTTCAATTGGCTGCATGTCGGCGGGCAGTCTTCAGACTCTGGCTGATGCCATGCACATCCCCCATCTCTTTATCCAGCGCTCCCCAGCGGGAACACCCCGCTCCGCCTGCCCACCCACCAGCCGTGTCCCTGGAACAGATGACTACACCCTAATGGTCCGCCCACCTGTCTATCTCAATGAGGTCATCATGCAAGTGGTTTCTGAGTACAGCTGGCAGAAGTTCATCCTCTTCTATGATTCAGATTTTGGTAAGGAAAAATGCAACCAAGTTACTTACTGATACTTGTCTTTCTAAGCATTGCAATAGATATGGAAGATGATTCACTTGAGCTGATGAATTTAGAATCTATCTCATGTAACATTGTCAGTGGTATCTCAGCATGGCACAACATTAGTAAGGTTTGCCCTTTAGCTCCACTTTCCTTGTTCTGGCACTTTTATTTGTAACTTGAGTCATAGAGAGGTGAACACTGCTGGGGGATAAGGGTTACCTATTCCTAATGGGCTAAAACTTAAAAGCATGTTGCATTTTGGCTCACATCCCAGTGAGTGATGTCAAAGCAGGTATTTTGGTAGCTAATGGAAAACATCATGTGTGAATTCATTCATTGCCAGGTGGGCAGAATTATAAAAGTTTTTTTTCTGCCCATAGAAAGCAGTGTAGTAGTTTTATGCCTTAGGTGAGTCAGTGTTGATATACTTCTTATAGCCATAACAGGGCTCCATTTCACTCATTGCAGCAATTAGCACAATGAATGTGTTGTACACGCTGATCTCCAATGTGATCTCCGCCGTGGCATTGTTCTGAAATGCATTCTGCTGGCTCAGTGTATTAAATGTGTCATATGAGAATATGTTCTATCTACTATCATTAATTTAACCCGGGGCAATATTTAGAAAAAAGAACTTTGAATACATTACATTAAGACATGGTACAAATTGCCAGTTCTACTCCCTGTGTTACTCAGTTGACATAGTGTCTTTTACTATAACAAATAAAGTACTGTCAGACTGCTCCATGATCAATGATGCGACAATAATTTAAGCCCAGGAGAAGTAGCATCAATATGTTCACAAATGGATTAATAAATCTTATCACAAAGAGAGTTCTTTGTGTAAAGACAGGATGCCTTGGTACTTCTGGATCTGACATGAACTCCAGCTAATGACAGAGTAACACCTAAATATGTTTGCTTGGATATGTAACTTGTGCTTGTCTGATTAGATGTTGTAAAATCAGACATTTACATACAAGATTTTGTTGGTTGAGGACATTTTCAGTATACAAAAATGCAGCATTTAATGTGGTTATTTTTATATATACAT